CACCCGGCACCAGACGATACTTAAGTGGGTTTTGGGTTTCAGTTTGGGCACTCGGTCTCTAAAAGGTTCGCCATCACTGACTTAGAAGAATATGCATAAAAAGCCCCCACCCCATGAATAAGTCATTTTAATTGACACATTGACACAAATATAATTAATCATAAGAATAGTATATGTGTTACTAACTGAATGCTCTACAGATCATTTAATAAGATAAATAATATTAATATCTGAAACTATATTTACTCATAATTCTATACTTAAAAAAATTGATTATGTGCCATCAAGTTAGTGTCAAGTCTTAAAGATCGTATAGATTCCTTCATGACTCTCTACCACGTACCTTATATTTTTTAAAATTTATAATTTTGACCTGTCTCTCTCTGTCAAGTTCTCTCTCTCTCTCTCTCTCTCTCTCTCTCTCTCTCTCTCTCTCTCTCTCAAGTTCTGTCTATCTTATTTCTTTCATCCATCCATCCATCCATCCATCCATCCATCCATCCATCCATCCATCCATCTATCTAAATGTAATGTTTATATAGGCCTGAAGGTTTTTTTTTCTATTTGAAATACAGGGGACATTAAAATAGATGAATTGTGTAAAATTGCCCTCTAGTTTGTATTTTCATATTATAAATGAATGATTTTCAGAATATAAGAATAACATAAAAGAAATAGACCGACTTTTACAATATTCTATTTCCAAATGAAACAGAAAAATCTTTTGGAGATATCATTAACCAACCTATTCAGCCTCAGCATTTGATATAGAAGAGTGATATCTTCATATTCGATATAGTATTGATTTAACAGAAAATAATAATTAAGCTGAGATTTTGAAATAACAAGACTAACAGTTCATTTGCACATCTACTCTGTTTTAACACTGCACAGTGGAAGTAAAAGCTGATCATATGAAACATATTGAAGTATTTTACAAATATCTATAGTTTAAACATTTTAGTACAACCATAAAGGGCACAAAAAATATCTGGTCTGTCTCATTACTTTGGCAGCTTGGAAAGGATAAACACTAGCCCCATTTCCTCAGAATACTTGCTTGCTTGCTGTTAATGTAGCACCATTTTTGCATAATAAGTATTTCAATGCAAAAAGGAAATAAGACAATTCTAGCTATTTCTGGATAGTCAGCAGCCATCACTGCATCTGTTTTTGCCCAGCTGAAATCTGATTTGCCGAAAAACACCATAGATTTTAAAGGACACAAATAGCCAAATTATTGATTATTAATTAATTATTAAATAATTAAGATTATTATGACATATGTAACACATGTAACATCATTTTTTTTTGCTTTATGATAATGATTTTGAAAATTATCACTGTGAAATGAGCATTTTCTTTAAAAAACTCTAGGCAATTTTTTAGAAGAACACAGCCAGTTCTTACGTGGGAAATTACCTTATACAAAGCCAAAATATTAGTTCATATAGTATAATAATGTACATTAATTGTAAGCAGCCTTCCAAAATTTGTGTACATCTTAACTGTACTAAGAGATATCAGGAACCATACAAATTATATCCCCAACCATCCTCTTTAATCTTCTGTTGGGTCATGTCACAAAATGTTCATCCCTAATGTCAGTCCATAATATTGTTGAATATTTTTTGGTTTTGCGTGGTGTGTAAATGTAATCATTCTGGTGTAGTGTCATGTACGAACTAGGCCACTATAATTTGTTTAACAAACCAGGATTTAAAAATCTTGGCTTAGTTTTATTCATCAATGCAGTTATTACAGTAATGTATTCAGCAGGCAATCAGGGCCTATACTAGCCAGGTATATATCCCATTATTCTGTGTACTTAATTCCTTGTATATACTAAATTCTTAGGTATATACATGATCATTTAAGATTTGAAGACAAATATGCAAAATGTGTCCAAATGTGATTTTCTGAATGGTACTGATGCTTTTTTCCTTCTCTTTATGTAGGTAGCATCAGTTTTGTACATAACTTCTATATAACTGTACCAAGGAATGTAGTATCACAGAAGATTTCTTTTATAGGAATTGTTGTCACAATAAAGCCAGACATGGCAAGGGTAAGTATATATAGTTATAGTTGTTTAATAAGTTATGCCTTGTACAGGTTAAGTGACTTCAGAGTTTTCATGCTTTAAGAATGGTAGAAATTTGGATAAATTGTCTAGCTCCTGTTGATTGATGGGGCTATAAAAAGAATTTTTAATAAATGAATCTAATTAACTAAATCATTTCTTAATCCAAAAGTATATTCTCAGCATTATTAGCATCATTATGTTTAATTAAGTATCCCTGACAGTACGTTCTTTATTTTTGAAAATTTAACACACTTGAATTGAATAATGTAGATAATAAGAGTAGACCATGTTTTGCTTTTTTTTAGTGATTAAAGTAGTCTACTCTGTTTCAATTTAACAATCTTTAAAACCTAACATTTCCATTTCATAATAGGGATATGACTAGTGTCCCTATTCTTCATTGTAACAGTCTATGTTCTGCCTACAGATTAGTTTTCTAATTCTGAGTATAGGTTGAACTCCGTGGTTTTTGTTGTTGTTATTGTTTCATTGCTATGTTGAAGTGAAAAGGAGATACTCGGGGCATAAATTGCTGTTGATCAGTAGTTGTAATTTAAAAGAAGCCGTTGCGCTTAAAAAGAAATGGTTTGTCTTGTTCAACCTTGAATTCCTTAATAAAATACATTTCATGTGTCTGCACACACACAGTGTTATGCAGGATGGGATTTCATTTTTCTCAGAGCTAGATAATTTAAAAGTTTTCAGGTTTTTATGCTGCATCCAGTACTACAATGTGTGTTGACTTCCATTAACTGAATTGTCACAATTGTGTAGGGATATAGAATCAGAGCAAATTATATTTGATCCCTATACATGACACAGATTGTCAAGCCCCTTCCCCACACAAAAATAGTCCTTTTGGTGATTCTCACTTATCTCTGATTTATGAACAAGTCAAAGGAAGAAATAGGATCAGTCACCGTCAGGAATCCTAAAAGTCTGTGGGGGAAAACCTTTGGAAAATAATATGTCCGGCTTATTAATGACTTGAAAAAGCATGAATAGCAAGGAATATCTATTGTAGACTAGCCTTGCTCTTTTTCAAAAAGATAATTCTTACTCTCCATTGTCTCAATTTTGATAAAATCTCAGAGCTGGCAAAGCACAAACAGGATCTCAGAGCCCCAAGAGAGATGTTACTTCAGCAACAGTCTGGCTCAAGCTGAGAGTGTCGAGAAAAGCTTTCCTGAGCTTTCAGTCAGTCTAATTCAGGCAAAATCCCATGGGGACTTCCTCTTCTAAGTAATCACACAAAGGAAGCCTAGGTAACAGGGAACTGGACGCTTTGTTGAAGACACCCAAAGGGGCAGTTCTGGAGGATTCAGATATCCATGCTGAGGCCATAATGGTTAAAGCAGCTCAGGGTTTCATGGCAGTTATTAGCTCAAGAGTTATAGCTGGCCACATGCCAGATTTGGTTTTTTTTATTAGGCAGTACTGTAGTGTGATCTGGAGATGAAGAATTATATATGTGTTCTTTGTCACAGCCATACTAGTTTTTGCTGAAATTTAGATGTATAGTTAACCATATTTGTGCAGGAGTGTGGGATCAACAAACTCCAAAGGATTCGATGAGACTTTTGGCAATTTTCTGGCTAGTATGGGGGTGCTTCTGTTGAAGAATTATTACTCATTTGCTAAAATGAATTGAGGGAAACCTGAAAGAAAGGGAACACGGACTTTAGAGAAAGACATTTGAAGGCAGACATTCCAGTTATGATCTGCCAACTTGAAAACTACATTTCCAAGAACAGTTTGTGGGTTTCCCCCCACACATATCACTCAAGGATTTATTACTCTAACAGGATAGTTAGGAAGAACAAGATCATGAGAATCTGCTAGTTTTCATTTGCTTTCATTTTTAAAAAATTGCAACAGGTGATTTACTATTATATTTGATTGGATACATTTATATTTTGCATTGCGGCTATGCTTGAATTCTGATAAACATTTAGAAAAATAGTACAAGAGTTTCAGACTGAAATGATATGAATATACTTACTGGTTGCTTCCCATATATTTTCAGATGGAAAGAAACACATAGGATATGATGAAATAGTTTAAATATGTCACATCCATATAAAGATTTCCTGGTTTATTGTAAGCTTCTTTTACCAAGGCATCATTCAGTTGCGGGAATCAACTCTCAGACTCCTTATCCATTCACTGAATATGCGAATTAAACAAGATTAGAGATCAAGAACCACAGGACACGGGTCTCATCTCTCTTGTCAAATGTGGTCCAGAGCACAAAAGGTTGCCATTAAAACAAAGGATGGAAAATGGATATTATTGAACTACAACTCCCAGCAGCCCTAGTTAGTATGGCTGATGACGAAGGATGCCATAATAAGAGAACCAGAAATCCCATACCTCTGCTTTAAATAGCTTGGAAATGTGATATGTCAAAGAATACGTATTATTTACTTCTGCCACTAAACAATGTGCTCAAACTTTACATTCTCTATTGGAAACATGTCACTGGGTATCTCTACAATTTCTCAGTTTGGTTGGCTAGTTTCTGAGAAAGGACTTTCTTTGGTCTGATGTTCAGAGAGGTTTGCAACCCACATATTAGCAGAATGAATTGTCTGCACAATTTAAAACCTTTGTGTCAATTTACTATCCTCTGACTTTTTCTCTCTCTAACACAGTGTTTAAGAGGTGGAAATCTCATTGTCCATTAATACTGTTTTCTCTCTAAGGAGTTATATTATCTCATAGTCAACTATCACTATGGTGATATAAATCTTGCTTTAATTATTACTTTCAGAGGCTACATAATGCTGTAAGATGCTAGTAACGAGGTGACCTGCGCCATCATAGTTATATGTGCTTCAAACTATGGCTGACCTACTAAACCGCAAATGCCACCTTTAAAAAGAATAATTTCCAAATTTGCATTTTTATTGAGACAGTGACAGCTAATGGGAATCATCCCAATGTAATTATATTTTTCTTCTCTCTGAATCTATTGCAGAACTGCTCTGGTTGTAAAGAAAAAAGGCCTGCACACAGTTTGTGTACTAACTGCAACAAGTGGCTTTGTAGCTTATGTACTGAAGAACACAGCCATAGCAAAGAAGCCGGAGGAGAACATTTTTTGCCAGTCTCCTTGAAGGGGTGTTCAGGTAGAAATGCTCATGTTTTTTCCCTTTCTTGTGCTGAACAATATATTTATGATTCACTTATAGGATCTGTGTATGTGGAGACAGAGTGCCTTAGCTAGTGTGACCATGGGGATGCTGCAGCGGTCATAAGTGTGAAAAATGGTTGTAACTCTCGTTTTAGTACTGTTGTAACTTTGAACGGTTGTAAAGTAAACCGTTTACTAAACAAAAGGTTGTAATTCGAGGACTACCTATATAAAGTAAAATAAATACTTTATATATTCTGGATTCCAATCAAACTAAATGGTACTATGGAATATGCCCTGGATTGACCTTGTTCCTAGGTAAGGCCATGTTGGGAACATAATTTTTTTAGTGGCTGAATAAAGCAAATTAAAATTATGCTCAAAACAGATTATCTTTTTTTCACTTTGTTGAAACAGGTTTACATTTGGTCTCCAGAACACACAGATGATATGATTAGAATAGCTCATGCAAATTAGCCACAAATGCAAATTTATTTTATTTTGCACAAATCTGAACAGCTTGCATGGTCTATTCCAAGTACAACAGAGAAAAAAGTGAATGAAATATAAATAGTAGTAGGGATTATGAGAGTAGGGAAAGATAAACAAAAGCAATGAGGAAAGACTTGAATTAGTAGATAAAGAAACCTGTATGATTAATGAGAACATTCCATGTTCTAATTCAATTCTATCTTATTAAACCTCTCTTATTCTTGACTATTTCACTTCTGGGACAAATGACATGGCTTTAGTCAACTAACAGAACTTTAACTCCTTGTGTCTCAGACCAAAGTCTGTATCATCCAAAATTCTACTTCTCCCAGTAGCCGAAGGGAAGTCTACAAGCAGCATTTCCATTGACAGAGGGAATTGGGGGCTGAGGGAGAGAATATCTGTGTTTTGAGTCTGCACAAGTAACATGTCAACTCTCTATACCTGATCTGCTATTTTATAAGAAGTAAGGGATGTCTAGAACTTCTATATCCTTCCTGAAAATTGCCAAAAAGGACAATCAGCAAAAGGGAAACTGAAAAAGGTTCTGAATTTCTGTAGACTCATCTAAACACTCTTTTTCTAATTCTGTTTTTTTCTAGCTCCTCCCAGAGGACAGGACGTACTGTATTTTGAAGGCACTGTACAAAGAGTCAGATTCTGCTCTTTTTTCCCTACAAACGTTTTAGTTCTAAATTGAAATAGTGGGGCATCATAAATTTATGATATTTGCATATGAAGGGTTTATGTGATTTACATATGAGTGTGAAATTTGATTGATATAAAAATACATGACTTCTGACAACCCTAGATTAATTGGGTTAACTTT